TGTGCTTTACAAGGCAATTTAAAAATTTTCTGTGACTTATAAAACTTGTTAACTTAAGATTATTTTGTGAAAGTCAGGTATTATGTTTTATTTTACGTTTACTATTGTACTGAAGTTAGCATTTGTATTTATTAACACATTGTATTTTGGGGAAAAAATAAACGTATACTCAACAACTCATCAACTCATTCCATATTAGCGATTCCAGACATTCTAATGTGCTCTTGGTTAAAATACCGTCAAGAAAAGAGGACCTTTAAAGAGTACCACCAACTCTCCTTTTCTTTCACTAATATCCTTGACATATATTTTATTTTCTGATTTTTAGAAATGGTGCACCCCTATTGATCTCGATTTTGTTCCAAAAAAATTCTGGCAATTTACCTGACGATGAACCACACTTACACTTGCTGCAAATATTTTTGTTTCCTGTTGGTACTCGGTCGTAGGTAGACAGTGGTTCCATTATTTACATAAATTTCAGCTTAAGAAATTTTATGGTCAGTTTGTCGGATAGCAGTAGTGCCTACCATGAGATAAAAGATTCGTGTACCGATGCGTTACCGCATTCAAGGCATTCGAAATCCTCTTTAATTGGGCCAAATTTGTTGCTTTAGGATACCACGAATTCCACACGCGTTATTTGTTAAGATCGCGCAGTCTACTTAATTGACTATTTAGTATGTTCACATACAATGTGCTGAGAAGTAAATGTTTAATGATACTTCAACAGCATTTGTGTGATATCAACACTTGCCCTAATTTAAAGTTTCCCAGGGAAAGTTGCTAGGAATCTTGCAGGAAAAAATATTTACGATCCTAGCGACATCAGCTTTGAAGGCGATATCATGTCCTACGTCCAGAGCAAAAGATCCGAACCTCTGTTCTTAAAAACGATGGATGAGAATCGTCTAGAAAAATTCCACAATGAATTAGGAATGACCCCAAATTCTGACAGCTGTTGACATTTTATCAAGTAGATTATTGAATACATCCATTTTCGCCAAAATAGTTTGATCCCACGGTTCATATTATTAAATGTTCCAACACAAAGTTAACTGCATCTTTAAGAGTACTGTTTCTATTTCACACATTTCTACACGCAAAAAGGACAACGTTCTTGCATGCATGAGTATAGTTTAACAGCTCTTTTAAACATACTAGATCGCTTAGTTTTACAAATAGAGTTATGTTAATCCAACACAGTATCCATCTTGTGTACAAATGTTCTTACCGCCGTGCTTATTGCAAATGAAGCTATGTGAATTTCAAATGAACCTCCATGCAGTTCCACAATCAGCAACAATCTAAGTGTACATAGTACCGCACTATGCGCGCATGACATTCCTTGCAATAAAAATTGGTTCAATTAAAGAGGTACCAGCATAGGAATTCCAACTATCTAATGGAAAATTCCAATAGGGAAGCCTATCAGAGTGTGGACGTTTTATTGGTGAAAGGTATCTGAATGAATTGTGATGCTGATATAAGGAAGGATTGTAAACGATGCCGTGGAATTAGCTAACTATTTTGTTGATAGTTCTATTGATATAGTTTGGTGGTTAAGCTTTGTGGGCGATTTGTAGCAAACAATTTAAGTGTATCGAATTGTTACTTTCATTTTTCCTACTTTTGGAAAACTAAAAATACTAACGCATGTGAAAGCTATCCATGGTAATAAATATTCTATTTTATACTTGAGCCGTTATCTTCGGGGATGCCATTGTCACAATATATACGTACACTAACTATACACTACAACTAACTGATTTGAAGCACTGCTCGGGTTTTGATGAAATTTTCACGCAAGGTTACTTTTATGCAAATTTTGAAAAACATTTATAGTTTTTGAAAAGTGGCGGAGGAGCTGGGGGCAAACACACGAAAATGAAAGAAAATCGGTCAAACCGACATTTCAGAAACTCCTGATCGTTTTCAGAAAAAAAAATTATGGGATAAAAATTGGGGGTTGCGGGTTGTGAGAGGTAGGGAAGGTATATGTCAATTACTTAATAGAAGCTTATGATTTATGTTATCCTCCTGAAGCTAGTTTCCCAAACAGATATTCGTAATATGAACAATGTGACAGGAAATAGCTGGGAAGCGGAACATAGAACGGTCTTCGACACGGATCTCTACTTCTTCTCCCTGATGGGCTCACCGGCGGGCGTGCCGGTCTTTATGAGTTTCCTTCTATTACTGCCGCTGTACCGCGCTGCCGCGTCGTGCAAGCTGATATGCAAGAGGGAGAAGATGTGGGTTAGTTATATGGTCCTGTTTGACTGACTTGATGTATGTAATATCTCTGTTGTACATGTTCGTTAGGTACTGCATTTGTTCTCCAACTTTTGCTGGACATTTATTTATTTTATTTATTTACTAATATATACACTATCCGAACGGTTTATTACACCATTTAACGGATAGGGACACAGGAATCAATTTTAAGACAAAATTGTTCTGAAATAACTTAAAACTGCCAAATGACTTAACCTACTGTTATGTAAAATCTTTTTAAGCTACGCAAACTACAAAAGAACAAATCTACAGCGTTTCTTGCACGTTCATAGTTGTTACATACTACATACCTATATCGGAGAGGAAAGCAACGCATTGGTTCTAGTTACGTTTAAGTAAAAGTATTTTGAATTGGATCGCGTCTTAGCATTAGGTACATGAATAAGAATCTTACCGAGTAAATATTCACAATCTATGGCATTGTTAAGCATTTTATATAAAAATACACAAGCAGCGTAGTTTCTCCAAGTTACAGAGGTTATACTCGAATCTGCTAAGTAATACATCATGCCAACTTCTGGATACGTACCATCTTCCTTGTGCCACAAATGTTTCACAAACCGCCTCTGAATACGTTCAATTATATTCGAGTGAACTTCATGAACAGGATACCATATTATAGAGCAGTATTCAATTTTGGATCGAACAAATGAATTATATAACGAGATCATGGTATACACATTATTGAAATCCCTACAATTACTGATAATGAAGCCCAAATTTTTATAGGCCTTGCTAACAACAGCATCAATATGCGAAACAAATATAAGTTTGGTATCAAAGAATATACCTAAGTCATGAAACTCTTTACACATGTTAAGGTGCGAATTATCAGTGTGTTATATATGAATCTGATTGGAACAAGTTTGCGCGTAATAGACACAGGGTAGCATTTATCAGCATTAAGGTACAGCTTGTGACGGTGACGCCACTTATTTAGGTTGCAATATATGACAGTCGTCCGAGGTTTCAATTTTACAAAAAATCTTCAAGTCATCTGCATATAGAAGACAGCTACTGTGTAGCTCCTCAACGAAGTCATCAATGAAAATTTGGAAAAGCAAGGGGCCAAGAGCAGACCCTTGAGGTACGCCGGAAGAAGGTATATTCTGAGTGCAGGTGAAGCCCCTGTATTCGACTTTCAAGCATCTGTTTGTAAGATAAGATTTGGAAAAAATTCAAGAATTGATGTGTCAACCCTCGCGTAGCTAACTTCTTTAACAAAATACCGTGATCTAGCTTATCAAAAGCCTTTGAAAAGTCATCGTGAGCAACATCTGCTTGCCCCCCTTCATCAACAACTTCAGAGCAAAACTGTTTAAAACATGCTAGATTAGTTAAAATAGATCTGCCTTGGAAAAATCCACGTTGATTTGGAGAAATTTCGGAAAATTATATCATGCAATATACATTCGAAAACCTTACCAACGTTGCTTATAATCACAACAGCTCTATAATTCTCAATCACACAACGTTCCCTTTTTTTAAATATCGGAGCAATCCTAGATGTTTTCCAAGCCATGGGAAATGTTTTAGTATTAAGAGATGTGCTATACAGATAATCTAAAGGCTCAGCTAAAACTAATGCTTCTTTCAGTAAAAATGCAGGGATTAGATCTGGAGTGGGTTTAATCTTTTTCAAAGCGGCAACAACCTGTTTCTCAGTAATCAGTGGTATATTCAAGGGTAATGAGGCGCAGTCAGGTGAGTCTGCGGGTGTAAAGTTTGTGGAAGGTGAGTATGTGGACTGGAAAAAATCTTCAAAAGCGTTAGGGTTAGTAGCTAGACCCTGTTCAATTCTAGTGGTATACCTTTGAAATACAATATCAATGCTAATTTTTATGTTTCTTCGAAGGATTTCGAAAAGCGCCGCAGTCAACAGGATTACAAGTTCCTTTGCACTGTTTCCATAATCTTCGCTTTTTCTTGATTTTAGAAATAATAGTATTGTTGAACCAAGCAGGGTAAGAAGTGTTCCTTGGCAGTGTTCGAGGTACATTCCGAGTGATTGCCGAGAATAGTATTTCATAGAACTGATCACACGCGTCGGTGATGTTACCATACATGTGACATCGGCAGATCAAAGTCCCTGAAAGCATTCTTCGCTAAACATTCTACCTTTGTAGAACTTGATGGAACTACATTTTTAAAAACTTTACATCATATCGCGGAAGGACTCGGCAGTGACAATAGTCCAGCCATCCTCTCGTCAATATGGAGTACAAGCAAATAATGTTTTGTTCAAAACCTTGACATAGCGTATTGTATTCCCATAGGAGTCATAATTCTAAAGCGATACCTATTTTTTGCATGGTCTAGAGTCGGGACCGTCTAAAGCTATGTAGGGGCTTCTAAATACGTAGGAGTTCAAGGCCTGCGACTGAAGGAGGGGCATCTTCAGACATTTGGGGGTTACCCATCAGGGCCCCCCCTGGGCACGGGCTGAGTGTGCCTATAGGGTGAATACGGAATAGTCTAGGGTCTCCCGTGTGAATCATTCATCGTTGAGGTTGGATGAGAGATAGAGGCGTGCGTTGGCAGACAACAACCGTAAATGATTCACATATAGTTATGGATAATACCTTGACGTCGACAAGATGATCAATGAACATGCAACATTTGTACTGTGATTTCCGCACTTATTGATAGCCAGGTGTACAAAACATCTAACCTTAACCTTATGTATCTCTTTGTTCCAGCAGACTCGTCGCCGATGTCCTCCCGCAATTTCCCCCCCTCCTTCTGGAACAGCCAGCACTACGTCGGCTCTGCCCCCGGAGGAGGTCACCATGCAGCCGCCGCGGCAGCTGCAGCCTCCGCAGCTGAACTGTACTCGGAGCACTACCACCCAGGGGACGCCTGGTATCATCAGTACAGCCAGCACCACCACCATCGGGCCGTGCACGACTACCATCACCACAACATGGCGGCACAGTACGGCGGGTTGCTGTTGCCCGGGTCTAGGTTACACGCCCCGTGCAAGGCAGTGGACTGGCAGCACCCCGGGATTGAGTCCGCGTATTCCTCGTATCCTACCATGTCAGGTGAGTGATAATTTTCTTTCTGTAGTAAATATAATTATTTTTATTATAACAGTCCCTGAAGTTCGCGACAAGACCTTACTGATACAATCAAAATTAATGTCAGAACTGTCTGCTGAGGAATTATAATTATTGTATATAGAATATCTATAGCGGAGAATAAAATAATACGTTCGTACGGGAGGTACTGCAGTAGAAAGTTAGAGTCCTTCTCGTATTTAACCGCGGTATGCAAAAATTCAACCTCTGGAGAAGTTCTGGTGCATCCACATTGTGCAAAAGTTTATGAAGGAATGGCAGGTCAGCAATGGAACGTCTTAATTGTATTGACTCAAATCGGGGCAGCAGAACAAATTAAGAGTCTGGACATACACCATCAATATTATAAGCATAATATTTAAGAAATTTTCTTTGTACATTTTCTAAATTATTTATATAATACCCATAGGAAGGGTTCCATATCAAAGAAGCGTACTCGAGTTTTGGTCGCACCTGCGAAATAAAAAGAGTTTTTAGTGCTGCTTCGTTGGAAAAAGATCGGCAGTTACGCATTATGAAACCCAGAATCCGTCTCGCTTCGGAAGTGACGCGTGCTATATGGACAGAAAAGTCCAATCTACTGGAAACTATTACACCAAGATCTTTTGTCTCTGTTGTTCTCTCCAAAACCGCATTATTTATGAATAATCGAAGATAATCGAGTTCATTTTGCGACAATATTTAAGAACAGACATCTATTGTCACACCACTGTGTGATAGTATCCTGAAGGGAAATCCAGTTCTCCAAACTTGTAAATTTTGGTGTAGATTTTCATATCATCAGCAAATAGTAGACTGTGACACTTTGGTGAAGCGGCTAGGTTATTTATAAAGAATAAAATCAGCAACGGGCCTAGGTTCGAACCTTGCGGTACCCTAATTTGCTGAACAATAATAACCATTATAATAAACATATGGCGTCCTATTGGAGAGATATGAGCCTAGAACACCACCTAACGAGTCACTAAGGCAGAAGTAATGACGGCTATCGACAAGAGAGTAGTTGCTACGGTTGTTTATGGAGGAGATTGTCTATTCCTGTATGAGGCATGGAGCAAGGGATTTTCAAGGTTCAGACGCACGGGGAGATTTCACTCATTGAGAAAAGACTCCAGGCAATCTAAGGGGATCCGAGGCATTCCAACCAATTACGAGGAGATCAGGAACAACTTTATCCTTTTTTAACCATCATTATAACTCTAATCTGCTCCTGAGATTCAGTGTTATCCCGTCCTCACCTTGAACATGACGCCATCTAAGAAGATTCAAGCTAAACCAGAGAAATCTGAGACAATTCAAGATCTGAGTTAGTCTATGGATATTCTAGACAATCTCTGTATATGTACAAGTGCAGTGGGTATGGTACCATTATGGCCCATGGGTGCTGATTCTACCGATTGTTTAGTGGAACCCACGATTTTATCCGGTGGGGATGCAAAAAGATGCGAGGAAATCCAAGAATAGGTATCTAAGAAAATTACGAGTAAAGAGTTTCCAAAGAGCTTTAATAAGACTTAAGCATCTTCAGGAAGATCCAAATCTTTATTTAGGGATATGTAACATAATACGGATCGTACCATAAGAGTTGGGCTTTTTCGTTTGCTGCTTTGCTATACTCTGGAATTTCTTGTTAAAGTACATAGTTTCACTTTCCTTGTCTATAATCTGAAATAATGTGGTTAGCCCTTTAGTCATTTGCGTTGCTTTGGATGCCTTAGTTTTTCGTATTGATTCTAAGATGGTATTATCTTTTACATTTCCTTTCTAGAAAAACTAATTTTGAGCACTTCTTGAATCCTGTGCGGAAATTCGTTTTTTTGGGAGAATTATCCTTGGTAGCAATGAAAATGATTGCATTTTTTAAAGATTCTGTACTGAAGGGATGACAACTGAGCCAAGAGTACCTTGCCTCTGTTGAAAGTTTTATGCGTCCTCCTGAGGGGTTCCCCAGACTGATGGGCAGTCTGGTTTCAGAAACTGGTAAAGATGATAAAGATATGTCGCAATAGAGCTTTTTTTACGTTAGTCATGATAGGCCGCGATATTGTTATAGTGCTTCCAATATCTAAAGGACAATCAACATTTTTTATACCGAAGCAGCCACGCAGGCAGAAGCCTAAGCGCCAAAGCACCGCGGCTGCTATGAGGATCCCAAAAACTTTGCTAACCGTATTTTTTAACTGCCTAAGTCACGTAGAGCTGCGTCTCGTAGATTCTTGATACCCTAACGACAAAGGAGCGGTCGTATCGGCCAGTTCTGGATGTGCAAAGTTCAACACGGTTAGGACGGGAGGCGGGCCTATCTGGCAGGCACATCGCGTGGCGGTATCATGGAGGAGAGCTCTGATGAGCAAAGCCCATTGGTGTGGCGGTAGAAGCGAGATAGATCACCGACGGCCCGCCGGTGCGAAAGGGTCCTGAGACTGTCTGCTAGAGAAGAGTAATCGATCAGTCGGTCAGCCCCCTTCTTTATAGCATCAATCATCTGAGGCAGCACTCCAAACATGTGAGCAAGTCTAGGTCTTATCTGCACCTTGTATAGAGTGAAGAGGTCATGTGGAGAAAAGTGCTTCTTTGTATTAAATAAATAGCCTAGCTTTTTTCTAACAGCTGCTGCTATTTATGAGATGAACGGCTCTTTGGCAGAACTCGGCCATCCATCAAAACAGGATGATCGCTAGGACAGTTTTTGTTCGTCAAGGCACAGTTCTGTGTCTTGGAGGCATTAAATTGTTACGATTGTTATGCCCCCAGGCAGATAGCCTCCAAGTCTCTCGTCAGAGAGAAAGTCACTGCTAGTCTTCTTTCTGCAAAGCAAGAGTTCAACTGTCTCAGTGTCATGGTTACATCATCTAAACTGTCTTATGTTGGTCATGTATCATGGAAGTGCTTCCTTGGCTGACAATGAACACTAGCTCTGCTACTTCCACCGTCAGGATGTACATTCGGATTCAACTGCATGCATTGAACATTATCATTAATAAAAGTCTCCAGCTGTGTCGGGTGAACCGTTCACTGAAGAATAATCATAATGTCCCTCCATTACGTTGGTCATAAAAAGATGACTCCCCTGCTTGACAGATTTATTATCGCATTGTTAAGCGGCTTGGCAGCCACAAGCCAAGTTCTTCATTGCCTCGTCTTCCTGTATACATATATCCGATAATCAGAAATGTGTTACGTTATGGTGGTGTCTTCTTAGCTGAGTATGTCATTTCGCTAGCTCCTAGTTACCACAAGCAGTTGTCAAATTTCCTGGAATATGCGATTGTTTGAGAGATCTAGAGAAGTGCAGCTAGTGGTCGAAGTAGGAGTAGAGGTGGGGAGGCAAAGCCGGGCAACTAGACTATCTACTTTTGACCCTTTTTGTAGACGCTGTAGTATCATCACAGCACTATTCTACGAGCCATCCACTGGTAATTGATTAGATTAACCACCTCCAATTACGAGATGTACTTATTATTGCATCCTCGCACGTGATGTAGACAACACAGGACACAACATTCATGGCCTGGAGTTGACTTCCGAAGGGGAGATTCGAACCCGCGAACCCCGGGTTGCTAGCTCGACGCGCGAACCACCCATCTACCGAGGCTTCCTCACAGTACAGCTACTAGAGGACGATTTATTTCTATAAGGCTTTCTCATCGATAAGTAAACGCGAAAAATACCTACATTTTGCACTTTACTGGTTATCTATGATCTAAGAAGCTGGCATCCTCTGTGATGAAATTGAAGAATAAATACGAGCCCCTTCCCACTTCAGTTGGCCCAATTATTGAAATCTTAGTTTTTTTCTTATCAAACACAAATAATAAAAATGTAGCAGGGTGTTATAGGTTTAAAATATTAACAATGAATATTTTGATTTGATTTGATTTTGTATAGTAGAAAACACCAACTTTATCACTCCCTAATCAAATTTGCAGCATAAAAATAGCACATGTTGCAATTACAGCATATCAACCTGTTTTCATTTCAATGCAAAATAAGTCTATAACGCATAGGTGGCTGTGAAAAATAAAAGCCATGACAATTGTTTTTATTAATCACAGCTGTCAGAATACGTTTAAAATAGATTTGGGTAATTGAGGTTTTCAAAATGGGTAGAGGAAAGGTTATTAGTGACAAAATTCGGTTACTGATAATTAAATTTTTTAATTCTGGGAGATCAAACTCAGAAATTGTAACTTTGTTAGACTTATCGCGGTACAGTGTGAGAAATATTGTTACAAGATATAACGTAACTGGTTCAGTTAATATTAAGCCACGATATGTGAAAAAAAAGTAATATCACAAATGCCGACTGAAGAGCATTAAGAAGAATAATTGTGAAAAACAGGCGTGACAATTATTTACAATTAAGTGCTCTGTGGAGTGACGCTGTTGGAAGGAGAATTTCGAGGTCCTCAACGCATAGAGATGCCCACAACCTGGGATTTAGCAAGGTAATTTTTCTTATAAAAAAGTGAAGTAAAAACCCTAAAGTTGCACAACTTATTTATAGGCCAAAGAAAAGCCACTATTAACTCCACTGCAAAAGAAAAATCGGCTTAGATGGACTAAAGAACATAGACAATGGACACCTCAACAATGGTGTGCAATACAATGGAGTGATGAGGCCCGATTCGAAGTTTATGTTGGTGGCAGTCGCAGTAGAGTTATTCGCAAAAAAATGAAGCATTCCATGTTGACTGTCTGAAGAGAAAAGTGAAATTTCCAGCATCCATTATGGTCTGGGGCAGTATGTCAGCAAAAGGAGTAGGAAAACTTCATTTTATTGATGGAAATGTGGACATAAACAAATATTTGGCAATTTTAGAAGCATAGGTTTTACCAGTGATGGAAGAATGTTTGACATCCGGCCAAGATTTTGTGTTTTAGCAAGATGGTGCAGCATGCCATACCTCAAAAAGGGTATAAAATGGATGGAAGAAAATAATGTACCACTTTTGAAATGGGTTTCTAGCAGTCCAGATCTGTCACCTATTGAAACTTTGTGGCACGAGATGAAAAAGGTTCTACGACAACATCCTGCTCGTACAATCACCGAACTGAGACAAAAGCTTCAAGAAATAAGGGATCGTTTTACACCAAATTTTTGCTAAAACTTGGTTAACACTATGCCCCAAATAATTTCAGCCGTAATAAAAAGTAAAGGTGATGTTACCCAATGGTAATCTTTCAATTGTTGCTTTGTTAACTTCGCGCATTTATTCGCAGATAGTTTATTTGTTCAGATGCTCTATTAGTTATAGGTCTAAGTGATTTCAAATATGTATTTTTTACGACTTGAGTGCATCTAAAATGTTTTTGAGATAATAAATTGTTTTAGAAGTAAATAGTTTCGTCATGTTTATTTTATAAAGGCATATTTTGGTACAAGTCTTGAAGTGGGCCAACTGAAGTGGCAGGGGCTCGTTCTATTTGATGATTGTTGAGTTGTTCAATGTACAAAAAAGTTCAAATTTGAGGGCCTGCCAGTCTGCCATTCTTAAAGTCAGCGATTTTATATTCTAGGGTCATAAAGCGCTTATTCTGGGCTTTAAAATGATTCGCCATTCTATTGAAAAATATTTCAAGATGGCGCCCAGCTCAAGTATCTTAGTAATGTTGAAGCAGCGACAGAAAGGATAAGGTGAAACCTCCGGTGAGAATAAATGCGCTTTTGTATGACCTGACGTTGTCAAATTATCTTTTACCTCATCTGAATACTATTTTAAAAGAATTTAGAACGTCTCACATGCAAAACCTATACATGTATTTTACAAATTTTGAGGTGAAAACCAATATGCAGGCGCAAAATCATGTTTTTTTTCTACACATATCTGATCGAAACTATACATCTATTCCACTGCTGCCACTTATAAATAATTAGAAGACAAACGTATTTTCCTATATCCAAGATTATGCAGTAAAACCTCAACCCTACAACACCCATGTTCTCACTCATGACGCGTGCACCTCCCGCGGAGAGCCACTCCAATTTCCAACCCTCTGATATTCATCCCTTCACTTAATTTCGACCCTCATCTCACCAAGGCGTCCCTCGGTCGACGTCCACTCTTCAGTCCGTGCCGCATTCCACACCATCCCCCTCCGCTCCTTCTCCTGGCGTTTCCCCACTCTTTTGGCCTCTAGGGATCGATAACAGTCTCTCGCGGTTGCGGGCCAATAGCTGGCTGCGATGCTAAAGGGGCGTGGTCGGGACGGTCGGACCCTGGTCATCTGGTCTTGCAGTGTGTGTGTGGACATCCGAATGTACCAGGTGATGTCCAAGAGTTGTCGGCTTGGTCAAAAATAGTTTACACGTTTAAATCAAAGATGCAGCCACAAAAATTGCTTGAACACAGGCTGAATTATATTTGTTTGCCTCCTGTCCTAGGGTCTATACTTGCAGTTGCAAGACGGTCCTATTTCCTCGGTTCAAACGGGCAAGGTTAGCCAACCTATTTGAATAAAATATTACCTGTCGGATTCCTAACCTATAATTTTGGTTTTGGTTTGATTACCCTTCGGAACACATGGTTTAACTTTTAATGCAATCCTCGACCATCTAACATTAAAACGCAATCAAACGTATATCAGATCGATCTAGGGATATTTGCGTGGATTGGTAGCTTGTCAGTTACTATTTCACTAGAATTGCAGACAAACTTGCATCAAAAATCTAATTAATCGATTTTGATGCAAGACTCCGGCATTTGCAAGAAAATAACAGAAAGAATCATCTCTTCTGTTGGTGTGTAAGCGGGCATAATACCCGTTTTACGTGAAAAGCTTTTTCACGAATTTATTCATCGGATTCCTTCAAAGTCGTCCTGATTATTAACAAATATATGGATTATCTGACAGTATATAGTGCCAGCCCCACAACAAATTCTTGCTAGAATATATGTATTGTGGTTTTGATCTTGAGCTGAATTTCATAAGCAGAAAGCATCCTGTTGAATACAATAAGTACGAGGAATGTCTTTTAAGTTTTGCATATGGAAATAAAACAACACGGTAGGTAGTTTTAAATAACTTTATTGTTTTTCGAAGTATTCTCGAAGATTAATACACATCTGCATGCGCTCGAACCAATTTTCGAAGCACTTATTGCACTCGTTTGCTGGCAGGTCCAAAACGGCATTTTTGAATGCGTCCACTGCTTCTTCTGGTGACTGGAACCTTTGACCACGCAGTCTGTTTTAAATTTTTGGGAAAGTAAAGAAATTGTTAGGACTTAGATCGGGACTATATGGAGGATGGTCCAATAATTCCACGTTTTCTTCCGTTAAATACAGCCTTGTTTTTTGGGCTGTCTGCGAGCTTGCATTGTCTTGGTGGAGGATGATTCTTCTTTCGGGGATGATATTTCGAAGCTCGGTGATGACTTTTGGTAAACAAATGGTGGTATACCAATCCGCAGTAACAGTTCTTTGCTCATTAAGAGGAATTGTTGCAATACCTTGGAACACCCAAACAGCCGACTGTCGTTTATTTTCTGGTTCATAACAGTAAATCCACGATTCATCACCACTAACAATACATTTTTGGGTTTCCGGAATTGAAACGGTCAAGCGTTTTTTGACACCAATTAACCCTGGCTGCTTTCTGCTCTTCAGTCAACAGGTGGGGTATCCAACGAGAAACTAATTTTCTTACTCCTAATTCTTCGTGTAAAGTTTTTTGAATTGAGGTCTTTGAGATCTTCAAGGTCGCCTCAGTCTCTCGATATGTCACATGTCTATCTTCAATGATGAGTTTGCGCACAGCATCGACGTTTTCCTGGGTGACTGCCGTTTTTGGTGCACCCACTCTGGGATCGTCGCTAAGATTCACCCGTGCACGTTTGAATTCTCCATACCAACGGGAAATTGTCGACTAATGTGGCGCTCCGTTGCCGAAAACAGACAGTAACTCAGCAAGGCATTCTTATTGCGATAATTTTCTCTGAAAGTTGTAATAAATTATGGCGCGAAAATGTTCTCGGTTGAGTTCCATTTTTCTAATGACTTGGTGACACTTAAAAATTCACTGTAGTGGGAACACTGCACGTATTGTTGTGAAGCTTTGAATTTAAGTTTACTAAAGAGTGAGGTTAAGATTCAGTACTGACGTTCGATCCGCGCGGCCTACTATGTTTTTATATGCAAAATTTAAAAAACATCCCTCGTAATTTGTTTGGTGCTATATCTCCTTGGTCAATCATTTACCTTCTTCCATTGGTCAGCGACATAATCTGAGTTTTATCAGTGCATTGTACTCGTTTTTGCTCTTTCGTTTAGGGCCTGTATAGCGAATGGTGAATGCTGTTTCAAAAGAGCCTCAAAGGAAACAAATTCTGTTTCATGGATGGAAAAAAGCAAATCCTTGTTCACACCAGAAGTTGCAGAACTTTTGCTGCGACTCATATCGCGCAACATCTATCCCCTAGTGTGAACATGCCTTAAAGTCAAGAAACATCGAAAAAAGCAGCTTCAGATTGTAAATGGAGGAATTTTTACTGACTAGTAGGTCTGCTTTCCTCTGGGCATTGCCCTCTGAATAATATAACTTGACTGCATTCCTAAAAGTAATATCAAGGAGGTGGCCAAAATGAAAGAGAACCAAGCAACCCCTAACCTCCTATAAATAACACCGTATACATATTTAGCTGTGTTTTATCACGAAAGAAGCAGCGTGCATACATTTCTTAGTCGGTCGGTTAATTAACAAAAAGCAAAACATTTTAATTATTATGATCGGGCCGCGCCCTTCCGTCACCGGCACGGAAAGCCGGCATAAATCTCGCCGAAAAAAACAATGAAAAAGGGCGGCAAGGGCTGTTGTCGCCGCCATCTACTCGGTAATGGCGCGATAGCCGCGTCACGCCAGCATAATTACACCCTTTCGCGATGCCGTTGAAATGCGCCCTTATCTCTAGGATCGCGCCGTTTGTTTTCGTCCAAACACGGAAGCGTCTTACATTTGGGGCGGGGGAATACGTGGATTCAGGTCTGTGCTTTGGAGAGTGGACGGTGAAGAATGACTACCATGTTCAGGGTCGTCTCAAGCTGCGTAAGGGTCGTTGGGCACGCAGGAAGCTCGGGGCCTCTAAAGGAGCCCCAAGGCAAAGCGAAATCAAGGGCCATAATTTTGTCGTTTGGACAAATTGAAGAGCGGGGGTAGGGGTGCTCGTGTATTTTGATTTCTGGGCATTCGGGGGCCACCCATCCAGCCGGGTCTCTGGGCCTGGGCCACTTGCCCACAAAACGTAAGAACGGAGTAAACCATGGTGTATATGGAAAGGTCATATACAGTTAATGCAGAATGAGAATTGAATAAATACCTGTTGTTATTCAGTGGCATCGTTGCCACCTCTCGGTAGGTTGCCTCTGATTATGGGATTTCCTTTTTCGTTGAATGACCACGAGGGAGGTAGATGTCATGTTTAGAAATAAACAATTTGGCGTAACGTGGAGAGCAACACCGCCGCCATGTCGCCTAGCTACGGTATTTGGCCCTTCACCCCTCCCCTGTTCTGCTTACTGGGGGGAGAAGAAGAATAAGAACCGGAGACATGTCCATTGACTCCAAAAGGCACGACTCGCTTGAATACTCAAACTCGCGCTGGGTACTGGGAAGCCTTCAGACTCCAACCCAGTAGGAGCTTTGCGAGTGAGGGAATATTACGACGTGCGACTGTATTTTTGACCGCGCACTGCTTATCCAGATCATACCTGATAAAATACGATTGCAGATGTGCAGTGATGAAAGACCCACCTACTTGAGAACTTGAGGAAAGAAGTGGAGCGGAATTATACCTTGTAGGTCAAGTCGTGCATGAGCGTTTCGTGCTGGGACCCTACACAACGGTTTTCCCGGCAGAGATATTTTAATGGTGGATCTAGGCAGATGAGCTGCAACAGTGCACCGAGCACATCTTATTTAAATGCTCCAACAGTGAAGTAGTGACACCTGCGAGGACAAGTAAATCTCTAGTTCAGGAATGAGCTACCTCTCTACAGAGTTTATCCCTATCCAAACACGTGAGACCCTGCTTTAGGTGTCCGAACACAGTGGAGATTATCTGCCTAGGCTGAAGGCCAAGGGCCCCTGTGCCGATCTTGAGCCTAGCTTAGGTATAAGCAGGCGCTAGGTTAACGTCGTACTGAGTTACGGATTGTATAGGAACCTGGGAAAAGTGTGGCCAAGGGGAGATAACTGTAGGCAGGCCCTGATCTCTTGGACCCGCTGACTACAGGCAAAGGTAGAGAAGGTTTTCACGACTTGTGTGACAGTGATTTTCCCTGTCCTGGCTTTCCTAAGGGTGAGAAGAGAGCCTCACGTGCTGGGAGGATGACGAGAGATCGTTCCCCCTTCTAGGGTTTTCTCCCTATATTGCAGTCTGAGGGCTGAAATATTCAGAGCTATGGAGTTTGGTAGTAAAGTAGGAGCGGTCGGGCATCCTGACCTTCATCAACAGATTAGGAAGATTCGATAAATGGAAATGTTATCAACTGATCTATAAAGATACTCTCTTAAGGTACGCGTCCATAGGTCCTTCGTACGAATCCCTATCCGCAGCAATCAAGTCTACGCGGTGATCCTTTGCAATCCTATTTTCAGTGCAGCATTTGAACTTTTGATCTGCAAAGCTGTTCGACGCAAATCACTGAACCCAATTGTATTCAGTAACATGGATTCTGAAATCCGATGCATACAATGCGGAATAGCGGACGCTTGCATTTATTTCAGTGGCGTTAATGTTTTTCGGACAAATAATGGACTTTCACAAGTGCACTTTTATGGTTATAGTAGGCGGCTGTAATCTTATTCTATGACCAACCTTCAATCCTGTCTAAATATCTAACATATCTGGAACAAAATTTGTCACAATTGATAAGCCTCTAATGGCACCGTAAAGAAGTTGTATCCTGGCAGCGGCGTAATTGGTTTTCATATAATAGCTTGTTACTAATTTGTTAAATTGATTGAATCTAACACTATGGTAAGGATCAATTTAGATTCCTATATATTTCAGCTAATTTATCAGCAATATTGATTGCCTTTTATATATCAACGTGTCAATTAAGACGGTAACAGGAGTAGTTATATAAATAACAAAAAACGAACGTGAGTGTGCTGGAACTGGGTATAGAAGATTAGAAGGTATCTTGTGGATGATGAAAGCCTTTAAATATTTGTGATGTAAGAAATGATAGTGTTACACTTTCAAAGCGCGCGCACATTGAGGGAAAGCGATACAGAGGAACTGCGATGACATCTATCATTTGTCACCTTTAAAGCCCAAGCAGGGTTACTTCTATGGATGGGGTCAAGAATTGAGACCCTGAAGTTTTTACTGGTCTCTGCAGAGCCGAACTTCTTCCTCTAGGCTTAAAATACTCATATACTGGTAAACATGACAGTCCTTTGCTCTTATTGTATGTTAGCAACTCCCCTCTTCCATTTTTTTACTAACCATATTATTAGTTGTATTATTTAGTTATTTTCTAATATACATCTGCGAACTCAAATTATAATTTAAATGTGTAAAAAAAGATCCATTTGTTTACAGTTTCTTTCTCTACGATTTTAGTTAGAGCATGTATCAAATTTGATATCCATACAATCACTTACTTTTGTAATAGTTTTAAATGTTTAACCTGCAATCTGACCTTGTAATCTCAAAGATTGTTTCCTTTGTTTCAGGGCTAGAAGCGCAAGTCCAAGACTCCTCCAAAGATCTATACTGGTTCTGAAACCGGGTTGAAGTACTGTATAGTTTTTGTTATAAAGAAAAGTGATCTTAAGTGTAATGTAAAAAGTACAAACTCTTATTTAAATAAGTACCGTATATGCGTACAGGGTTAATGAACATTTGGAAATCGTCCTCCTTTTTACTTAACATACATATGTTCAGGACGTTCAGTCAGTTCACAATTTGCATGGAAGTGGAAGTGTTTTGTTTTCATGGTCAACTGCTATTTTTTCAATAGATATGGTTTTGTGATTACGCCCTGATTAGGTATATCCATATTACAGTGGGTATGGATAATATGTAGGTGGCTTTGTCCAAATTCTTAGTGAACCCTGTATGTGTTGTAGAAGCCTACAAGTGTTACTCAATATATTTCCAATGTACATATAATCTGACGTTTGACGTTTTTTTTTGTATATAGGAAATCAGCTTTCCTTTTTTACGTACTTTTGTTGCTGAATTGTATGTGTACAATTATTGGCATCCATAGAAATGACATTGAAGCTTTGATAAATTATATAATTATATCGGTTATGTTGACTGTGAACATAATTTAAATATAACGTATTTGTATATTGCATTGTATATATTTATCGATGAAATTGTATACCAAAAGTTTTGTTTAAAATACACATGTTGTTATTGTTTTTAGTAATAATCTGTATATGCCTTTGTGAAATACTACCTTTAGCAACTTAGCTTCATAGAGAGTGAATTGAATAATAGTCAAATTTTTCCAATATGTGGTAGAGTATCTGTTTTGACGGATGTCAAAGTGTTATTCATCCATTCCGGCTGAATTGTAACAGATTGTTGCAAATTTGAGAAGGAAAAACAATACCGTACGGTGTCTCGAAATACGTGTTCAATTTCTCAGACTCTTGTAGAACACAAAAAATGTATATTTTCCTATGAAGACACCTTCCACGGGGCTCTTTTACGGAGGTCCAGGCTCCTACCGTGGTTTTCATAAGCAACTTCTGATAAACATTTTAACATCAACAATCAACAAGTCATTGATGGACTAGACCTATTGCTGTATTTTTAATACTTTACACCCCAATTTCGATTTCTTAGCTAAAAAATGTACGCTTATTTTTGCTTATTGATTCAGATGTTATTTAAAGAACATAAATATCCAGTGGCGTGCTTCAGAAGCCTGAGACATTTGTTTAGAAGAATCTAATATTTTTTGTCTTCTATGAGACTGACTATACTTTGTGACACCCCGTATACATGTAAGGTGTGAGATGAGACCCAAATAGCGTACCAATTAAAGATATTGAGTAAACTGGAACGCTTCTTACTGTAAAGACTATTTCGAAACGTTTATTATAAATAAATGTTCCTTATTATGTATCAGTAACTGATGCTTGTGTAAATAGTTTTATTGAAATTGATTTTAAGTAATAAAAATATTCAACATATGTCCTTGTTTTATTAATGACCACATATTTCTCGCTAACACCGCCAAGTTGATGGATTGCCATAATTACGTTTACATGTTAAGTGTTTTATGCGCTGGGTACTACCTTTTGGTATGTATTGGTAATGTAACTTGCATTCACCAGCTATGGAAGGACCGAATGGTATTCGACTTTCATTGAAAGATTCGTTTTTGTCGATTAAATTTTTTAATTGTGGTAAGGTTGCTTACATAAACTGGTTCTGAATTAGATCCGAAGAATACAACTTAAGAGTATTACAGTCCATTTCTCGAAGAAGGAAACTAAATCCAAACAAATTCACGCATACTTCACGTGATCGCACTCCAGGATGCCGGGTATGCTACAGAGCTGACGAGGCTTCATGCACCGCCGTGTTGACCCCACTTCATTGGCATTGAACCTGTCCAATAACAGTTATGCTCTAATTTTTTCGAAATATACCAACGTGCTGGTCAAACACTGAACACACGCTTGTTATTTTTGGTTTAACATCTTTCTTGGATAAATAGATGTCTGATAGAATTACGTCGTGGTTAAGACCATTTCTTCTTACCGCTGCCCCCTCTCCCGCTCGTGAGTTAGCTTGGCTTCTTAAGCTATGTACAGTCCCCTAGTCGCACAGAAGCTAGACCTTTAGAGCTGAAGGGGCTCCAGGACAGAGCAAAATCTGCTATCCGTACTTTCACTGAAACATTCCTTGGAAATATACTAAGTGAGATATAAATCCGAACACCCAGTTTAAATGGTTTTATTTTAATAAAAGTAGATGAATGTATTTATCTTACTGTAAATAACAAGTGAAAAAATGTTCAGCTTTATCAGTTGGACATTCCGGTTTTTATATTGCTTTTTTTTAATTCACTAACGCTCTAAAAATGAATATTTCAGCCGCAGTAAAGAATCAACGTTGGCGGATTTTGGTTCTTGACATTCTTTACGATCGGTTATGATGCCTAGAGTACGGAGACCTGTACGATTTCGTCAACTTAGTGAGTTTGATAGGGGCCGTATAGTGGGACTTCGGGAAGCTGGACTTTCTTTTCGGGCAATTGCAGTTAGAGTGCAAAGAAGTGTAGACACTGTGGTTAGGTGTTGTCAGGCATGGCTTCGAGAAGGCCGTACGCAAAGAGCAAGGGGCACTGGACGCCGCCGTAGAACAACAGACCGTGAAGATCGCCGCCTAAGATTATTGGCCTTAAGGGACCGTTTCTCCACCACCAGGTCCATTGCAAATGACACGGAAGACCTATTGGCATGCGAAGTGTTTATCGACGAATGAGAAGTTTTGGCTTGTTTTCATACCGGCCACACTGGGTCCTCCCTTTAACTCGAGAACACCGACGTAATCGCCTTGAGAGGTGCAGACAACGGTCACTCTGGGATCAGGAATGGAACAGTATTGTCTTTAGTGACGAGTCTCGATTTTGTTTAGGCATGCACGATGGTCGTGCCAGGGTTAGAAGGCGACGTGGTAAAAGGAGGAATCCACAGTTTTTTGTTGAAAGACATGTTCATCACACTGTTGTAGTTATGGTTTGGGGTGCTATAGCTTATGGTTCCAGGTCACCTTTAATCTTCTTCAGAGGTAACATGAACGCGCAGCGTTATATCCACGAAGTTCTAGAACCCCATCTTTTACCCTATCTTGACACCCTGGCAGATCCAACTTTCCAACAAGATAATGCCCGACCACATGTTGCAAGAGTCACAATAGACTTCTTTCAACATAATGATGTCACATTGTTACCATGGCCACCAAGATCTCCCGACTTATTCCCAATTGAGCACGTGTGGGATATGATGGGTAGGAGATTGCTCAATTTGCAACGTCCTCCTCAGACTCTAGAAGCACTTCGAGAGGAGTTGGTGGTTGCCTGGAATGAGATACCTACCACAGGAGGACGTTGACCACCTGATCAGAAGCATGCCTAGGTGCGTTGGAGAATGCGTAGCACATCAGGGTGCATCCACACATTATCAAAGGTCAAAGGGCTTTAAAGCAGTGCAATCATTTTGAAATTTTTATCATTTACTTATTATGCTTCATTAAGTAGTTATACAAAATTTTATTAAAATAAAACCATTTAAACTGGGTGTTCGGATTTATATGTCACTTAGTATAACTAGGTACATACCAACGGGGCAGTAACTAAGTGAATTTTACGCGTATCACATGCAATGTCAGAGGTAACGGTACATGATCAGACTATAATTGTTTAGCGCTGAGTGTTGCAACGAATTGTACGAGGGCTGTCTTAAAAATAAGGTTCCCAATGCAGTATCTTTGCCGTGCATGATGCTGGGCGAAATCTGGCAACATCGTCGTATATGTCGGCTCCCCCAATACCGATCCCAACAAGATGCGCCTATTTGCGATGCTCAATACCGGCCCGAGATACATGCGCAATGAAGGAGGAGGAGAAGCGGATTTCACGTCTAAAAAAATGCGTAGAAAAAATGACGAGTATGGCGAGAAATAGCTAAAAGATCAAAGTTTCCAATGGTGAATTCGTTTTCTTTTCAAATAAAAAATTCCTGGTGCCTGAAAAAAATGTGGGTATAGTTAGACTATTACTCCTAATTTTGATGAAATTTAGACACAAAACTTCCACCGCCAATTGAAAAATAGCTCTCTGAGTGAATAGCGTCAGTGTAAATATAGATATTAATCTGTGAGAAGCCCTGAGTGGAGCTTTCTTGACGTCACTTCCAAGTCTGAAGCAAAACCTGATAGCCCACCGTTGCTTGAAATTTATGTCACTCATTTTTAGAACACAACAGAACACAAGAAACATCGCTACAGACAACCAAATGACCCCAGCGAGTTCAAGCTTGTACTGAGAGCCTATCATATGTTCCCCTGTCCCCCCTCCAAGCCCGGCGCCACCAGTGTTGCTAGATTCAACGCTACGTTGCCAGTATCATTACCTAATTTACAGAATAAATCACCGGACTGTAATAAGCTGTAGCATCACATTTTTCCTTCATCTGGAGCGACCACTTGCACACACAGTCCGCTGTGCCTTTAGTTTCTGAAAACGTTAGTGGTACTGTTCAAGAAGTTATGAGAGGTGCTTCTAGCAGTGATTTGAATTCAACCGAGCCTTTGATAAAGAAAAAAAGTGTCAGCTACCAGATACCGACAAAATAACAGGAATAGTTACTAAGAAAGGTTATAGGATCTGTCATGTTTCCAGACTATTATATACTAAGTGACATATAAATCCGAACACCCAGTTTAAATGGTTTAATTTTAATAAAAGTTTGTGAATGTATTTATCTTACTGTAAATAACAATTGAAAAAATTTTTAGCCTTATCAGTTGGACATTCCGGTTTTTATACTGCTTTTTTTTAATTCACTAACGCTCTAAAAATGAATATTTCAGCCGCAGTAAAGAATCAACGTTGGCGGATTTTGGTTCTTGACATCCTTTACGATCGGTTACGATGCCTAGAGTACGGAGACATGTACGATTTCGTCAACTTAGTGAGTTTGATAGGGGCCGTATAGTGGGACTTCGGGAAGCTGGACCTTCTTTTCGGGCAATTGCAGTTAGAGTGCAAAGAAGTGTAGACACTGTGGTTAGGTGTTGTCAGGCATGGCTTCGAGAAGGCCGTACGCAAAGAGCAAGGGGCACTGGACGCCGCCGTAGAAGAACAGACCGTGAAGATCGCCGCCTAAGATTATTGGCCTTAAGGCGGCTCCGACGCAGTGAGTTTCAGGCCATTTACAAGGGTTTAGCTGCTTCGGAATTGACGCTCCATTTTTCTATATATTTGAATAAAATTTATACAGTATGTTCAGAAGACAATTGTCCAGGGTGCTATAGAGCCACTTTTCTAAAAAAAAATTTTTTTCAGGAGTTATGGTGGGTGGAAGTGCAGATAATTGTTGTTCGACTTCTCGATTTTTTTAAAAATAACCCAGAGGAAAAAACGAAAAAGTGGCTCTATAGCACCCTGTGGAGTCTTGTTTTTAGTGCACTGTGAAAATTTCATTGAAAAATATTCAAAAATGAAGCGTCAATTTTGAAGCGCGAAAACCTCTGCAAATAGGCTTTTACACGAATTTTATACACTATCTCGTGCTGCCAGTCGAAGCAACGCGGCGGTGTGTAAGGACTAAGAAAGGACGTATTCAGATAATTTGTTGTCCCAAGTTAAACAGTAGCAGTTTTAACGTCGGTCGTTCGAGATAAACATCGGACCATTAAGTGATATTTTTAATAGACTTCAATGAAAGAGGGGAAATTTTTAATCGATTTTGATCATTTCTTTTTATACAATAGGCCATGCTTCAGAGGTGATACCACAAAAAATCATTTTTGTTCAATCACTC